TAGTTAGTTTTGTTTTGTAGTTTGCTTTTAGATGGTCTAAGGATTGCCTGTTAATGTTTTGCAAAGGTACTGATTTAAGAACACACAACCTGGGTTAATTTAAGATAATGAGTTATCACCTACAGGAGAGAGATAGACATTAAAGTCCAATACTCTTCGTATAAGGCTGTTGAAACTTATTTGCTGGATGTTTAAGATTAAGTTTTAAAATTAAAGTTAAATTCAAAGGGCCAAGAAAACCAATATTTGGCTCTTGCCCTCTGAGTCAGTCTGAATCAGGGGATAGGGTCTTTGGGGGGTCTTTCAAACCCAGGGGAACTCTACTCTTGAGCTACATCCTAGCCCTTTTTTATTTTGAGACAGGGTCTCACTAAGTTGCTGAGGTTGCCCTGGACCTTGTAATCCTCCTGTCTTAGCTTCCTGAATCACTGGGATTATAGGCCTGGTCACCAAGCCCAACTAATGTTTTTGTTTTTTATTTTAGCAGTGCTGGGAATCAAACCCAGTGCTTCATGCATACTAAGCTAGCACTCTAACACTTAGGTACATCCCCAGCCTCCATTTAATGTTTTGTTTTCCAGACTTAAGGAAATATTTTTATTTTAAGTTGGCTGGGTTTCTGTTCTCATGACTAAAAGGCTCAGGGGTCACTCCAATTAAACTGGGCTAACTGGGATGCACGAAATAACCACATAAGAGACACAAATGCCTTTTTCTTTGGGGTCGCTCTGATGGCCCCTCTGACCTTAAGGGTCCACAGGAAGAGAGAGAGAGAGAGCATGCACTGACCCCTTTTATTGAGGAGAAGTTATTTAAATGAGGCAAGGGGTCAGGTTGCAGGAGGCTGAGTTTATCTTCATGATGTCCACTGTCAGCAGGTTGACTGACACCTGGGTAGGCCACACCCAAGGGCACAGTAAGAGAAGGGGACACATACAAGGCACTTTCATGGAATATTCTATTCTAAACAGGGCAAGGGGTTATATTACAAAGGAACAGGTGAGCATAGCTTCACCCATGGGGCTGTAGCAAGACACATCCATGAAGGAGACACTGACCCTCAGACCCAAGAAGGGTGGGGAAAGCTCTGCCACATTTCTTCGACTGAGCGCCTCAGCATCCAGCTGGGGAGTGTGACTCAGTCACATGTAAGGTTGGTCTCCCACATAAGTTATCTATATTTATAGAAATCTAGTAAAGTATATTTTGTAAACAAACATGAAACACTTTTCTTCCTACCTGGTACCTCTAGAATTTGGAAGCTATTAGTGAATATTCTTATTTTTATGGTTATTATTTTATTTGCATAAATTCAATAAGAAAGATATTGGAAACATTGGGTATATATATTACCAAGGCTTTGACTGGAATGTTGCTGCAGTCTGGCTGGGCACAAATCACCGAGCCGCCACAAAGCACTTGTATGTTCAAACAGGAAACTTTATTGCTTGAACTCCACCAGCACTCCATGCACACTTCCCGGGAACTCTCCCAGCTCTCCACTGGGCTCAGCCCCCACTCTCTGGGAACCCCTGGAGAACTCAACAGGAACTCCAAAGTAGCGGGGCGCTGGAGGTGGACAGCAGGGGTCTATTTACAATTGAATACACAACTTGTTTCAATCCAGCATCATCTTAATGGCTCACCTCTCAACCATTACTTCTGGCAAAATGCCAGGGGCCATTCTGACTGTGGCTCTCAACAGAATGTTATCTGAAGTCAGCCTCAGTTTGACTTCCTAGCTTTGAGATTTTATAAAAGGCCAATCTGAGATTCCTTGTCAAACTTCCAACAAAACAAATTTGAAAAGAGCCTGTGTAGTTATTATGGCTACACTTATGCAAATAATCAGGAGACTAGACCTATTTTGCAAACAAATTGATCTTACAACAATTATATTGATGGAAATGGAAGTGATTATAGAGAGAAAAATCACATTGCAGAAGAAAATTGTAGTATACCTGTTATTATATTGTAACCCTGATCATTGCTTTTGCGTTTCTATGATGTACCTGTAGACTGGATTGGATTCTGAATTCTAGTTTTCTATAACATCTGATTACAACTCTCCAACTAAAAATAAAAACTCAATAAGACAAAACTGGACAATTTCATGTAAATTTCAAGAGAAATTACAGACAGCCTTGATATGGTTTGGATATATGGAACCCCCCCCCAAAAAAAACATCTCCTCTTAAAGAAAGAACATTCAAAGATGAAATGATTCGATTATGAGAGCTGTAATATACTACCCTAATTTGAATGGATGGACTGGGGAGTAACTGTAGACAGGTGGGTGTGCCTGGAGGACCTGGGTCGTGGGGGCATGCCTGGAAGGGTGCAACTTCCCTGGAGTCCCTTCTTCCTTCCTTTTCCCTGATCCTTCCCTGCCCTGAGCAGCTTTCCTTCACTGGGCCGTTCCTCCATAATGTGCTACATCACCTTAGGCCTAGAGCAATGAAATTGCTAAACCATGAATCCTGTAATGGTTCATTTGAATTATCAACTTGATCGGATTAAGAGATGACAAGGATTAAGAGCCTCATGGGTGTGTTGATGAGGGTGCGTCTAGGAATGATTGGCTTGTGGGATAGCCAACTGAAATGGAGACCCGCCCTAAGCATGGGCAGCACTGTCCAATAGGATGATGGTTTGGATGGAATCAAAATTGGACGAAAGAGGCAGCAGCAGCAGATGCAAGTTAATTCTTCTTGGACAGGTTCTTGATTGCTGCTGCTGTCATCTGAGGATATCAGACTCTTGCCTCTTCACTCTTCCAAAGCAGCCTCTGCCAGCAATTTTCCAGAAGCCTTCTGTCTTGGACTGGGGTAGCACCATTGCTTCATCCTCTTGGACTGCACAGGTACTGGTTCTTCCAGCTCTCCAGCCTGCAGACAGCCATTGTGGACTATCCATCTTCGGTTCTGTAAACCAACCTAATAAATCCCCTTTTTATAATTATGCTTCCTGTTGATTGTGTTCTCATAGGAGAATCCTGACTTATAAAGTCTTAAATAAAATTTCCCTTCTCTAAGTGCTTGTCTTGGTCACAGAAACAAAAAAGCTAACTAAAACAAATCTTGTCTGATATGATCACCAGAACACCCAAAGCCACAACCAGAAACAGACTGAAAGTCAAAACCAGGAGTTATCTTCACACTGTGTGCAGCTTTTCCCACCCAAGATTTTCATAGTAAGACTCCCTTTCTCGAAATAATATTCTAGCACCCCTTGTAATAAGATTTTTGTTTATGCTTCCTTCTTGCACTTGACAGGATAATACTATGACCAGAATTTCACAAGCAATAACTTCTGTGGCTCACTTAACTGTGTTAACTATGTGTCAAACTCAAATATTTATAGGCCCTAAGAGATCTTTTAGTCTAGCTAGTACATGACTTTAGCAACATCCCTGCTGCAACTGTTCAAATTGTGCTAGTGTTTTTTTAAATACTTTTAGTTGTAGATAACACAATACCTTTATTTTATTTATTTATATTTATGTGGTGCTGAGGATCGAACCCAGTGCCTCACACATAGCCAGGTGTGGTGGTATATGTCTGTAATACTTCTACTCTGGAAGCTGAGACAGGAGGATCACAAATTCAAGACTAGCCTGGGTAATGTAATGAAACCCTGTCTTGAAAAATAAAAATAAAAAGGCCTGAGAATGGGGATGCAGTTCAGTGGTAGAGTTTCCCTAGGTTCAATGCCCACCTCCACACACACAGAAAAGCTACCAATACACTTAGCTTTATAATCATAACCTTTATACACATACTCCCTGAGCTCTCTAGCATTAAGGACAAACTTAAAACACCTAAATGATTAATTTCAATCAGAATTTGAAAAAAGGAGATGCAATGCTGTGTGATTGGTCATTTTGGTCATTGACATCTCACTATGAAGTCCCAGAATGTAGGGTAAGTTGAAAGTGGGGAAACGGAAGTGGGAGAAGTGGGATACGTCAGGTGTGGTAAAAATGACTAAAAATGATAACAATGTGCTAAGTAATAGGCTGAATAATTGAGTATGCAACCTTATTTATTTTCTGTGCTGGGGAATGAACCCAGGGCCTCATGCATATTAAGCACATGCTTTATCCCTGAACTATACTCCTAGCCCAAGAATGCAATCTCTTATTCTTCATAATAGCTTGGAAGTTGGTGGTATTGTTTTTATTTTACAGATGATTAGAGACTGAAAAGATCCAAGAAAATTGCCCAAAGTCCCACAGCTAGGTAACCGGACTGTAAAGCCCCTTTCCTGAACTAAGGATGCTACACCACCTGAGATGAGCAACATGTTTAAGGGCATTGACCCAACACGTTGGAGGAAAAGCTGCAAAAGGGGAAAGAGGATAAGAGGCTGAAATTCCTTCCTTCCCACCCTTTACCCTCCCACCGGCATTAAAAAAAAAAAAAAAAAAAAAATCCCGACTGACTTTCTTACAGCACATTCATTATGTAATTTGGAGGAAACAGGAATCAAAAGCAACAAATCCTGATATATAAGAAAGCAAATTTTACCGAGTTAACGTGCACACTAGAACAAGCGCTACTTTTAAAATCTTAACTATCCCAGATTTGCTTGACCAATTTATTCCCAAATATTGAGCGTTTGGGAAGTTTTCTGTTTTAATGCTTTGCTTTCCCACAGAGATTTCCTGCAGTTAGGGGTTGCTATTTCAACGCAAGGAGACCAACTCAAAAGAAAAGGCATTTTCCTTGCTCTTCTACCCGCCACTCCTAACACACACACACACACACACACACACACACACACACACACACACACACACTAATCCAGGGAGAACGCTAGCAACAGATCCCTCTTGCTCACTCGCGGGGCGGTGGAGGGCTGGCCACAGAATGTCACGGCTCATTGGCCACCAAAGGAGAGCGCAGCCTTCAGCGGACCGTTGAGGGTGATTGGCTGCTGGAGACCCACCCCCTCGCCGATTGGATGGGGCGGTGAAGCCCGATTGGTAAAGCCGGAAGAGATTCTTCAGCTGCAGTTCTGGATCTCGGTTCTGGAAGAGATGGCGACTGCGACTCGGCTGCTGGGACGGCAAGTGCGGAGCTGGAGGCTGCGGCCGCAGCTGTCGCCCCTGGCCGGCCTCGTTTCCCAGCGCGCCCATTCGCTGTTGCCTGTGGACGACGTGATCAACGGGCTAAGCGAAGAGCAGAAGCAGGTAGGGAGACAGACTCCCTTCCCGGCTGCAAGGCCTTCTGTTTAGCACCCGCTCAGCAGCTGCTTGTGCTCTTTGGACGAGGAGAACGTCACTTGGGAGCGAGGGCGGGAAACTGGCCGTCTCCTTTTGGGCCCTGTCCTTTAGTCTCATCTTCACCTCTGTGGAGAGAAGATTTGAGACAGCAAAGCAGGGCAGCCAGAGGGATGTAAAGGAAGAAAGCTCCTGGGAGAATGGTGGTGTTTTGGTGGATTGACTGGGACTACCGCTTGTGGCAAAAGGGTCCTGCATCTAGATGTAGTTCCTGGTTGATCATCGTAATCACCAGGGATTCTCTTGGGATCAACAAGGCATTTTGAAGTGCCGGTGAGGTTTGCTATCATTTTTCAGCTTATTAGATCCAAAGCACAAAGAAAGAACTAAATAAAAAAAAAATGTGATTACAAATGGGACTAGACCAGAGCCTTTCTTGCAGGAAGGAGGCTATGATCACTTGGAGGTAGATGGAGTGCAAGGGAATGTGATTCTCCAAGGGCCCTAGGTGGTTTAGGGCTTCTCTGAAGACTTCAGTCCTAGGTGTCAAACCTTTCTACCAAGAGGAATTTCTGATTCCTTTCAGTAATCTCTTTTGGCCAAAGGCTCAGGGGCAGTAAAAAGCCTGACACAAGCCAAGAACTGAAGTGGGTATGGCTGGAGCACAGTGAGTGGGGGATAGGTTGGAAGGCCAGCTGGTACAGTTTATGCAGGACCTGTAGGCCTAGGAAAGGAGCCTGTGCTTTATTCTGAGTGTAATGCAAAGGCATGGAACGATTTTATTTAGGGGAGCAGCATTTTTTTTATCTTCAATCTGGATGCAGTGGTGCATATTGTAAATCCCAGCAGCTCTGAAGGTTGAGGCAGGAGGATCATAAGCTCAAAGGCAGCCTTAGCAACTTAGCAAGCTCCTGTCTCAAAATAAAATATAAAAAAGTGTTGGGGATGTGGCTCAGTGGTTATACATCTGCAATACTTGGGAGGCTGAGGTAGGTAGATCACTTGAACCCAGAAGTTCAAGGCCAGTGTGGACAACATAGCAAACCCAGTCTCAGAAATAAATTAAAAAGCCCAGGTATGGTGGTACATGCCTGTAATCCCAGCTAACGCCTGGGGGTGTAACTCAGTCACAAAGTGCTTGCCTAGCATGTGCAAAGCCCAATGTTTGACCTCCAATACCACACACATACATACACAAAAAATAATAGCATAAATAAAGTGAAAAGTAAGATAATAAAAACTAAAAATCATCTTCAAGCTATCTAAACTGAGGATCTTAAGAAAAAGTTGAAGATCATCTCTGAGGAAACACTAACTAGTGAGGCTTCTAAGTTTCAATCTAATGCTATTTGGTGAGGTTACTTGTGGCTTGGCTCTCAGAATGTGCTCTCAGTACTGGAGATGCTGCTTTCAATGCAATAATATTTTGGTTTCAGCTGTATCTGTCCGCTTTTCTCCCTCTAGCTTCGACAGACCATGGCTAAGTTCCTTCAGGAGCATCTAGCTCCCAAGGCCCAGGAAATTGATCGTAGCAACGAGTTCAAGAACCTGCGAGTGAGTCAGAAGGTTGGGACAGGGGGCAGTTGGGAGCTAGGCTGAGTTGCACTGCTGCCTGGAAGGGCTCACACCATCTCTTGGTAAAAAGAAGCCTCGCTTGGGCTGGGGATGTGGCTCAAGCGGTAGCGCGCTCGCCTGGCATGCGTGCGGCCCGGGTTCGATCCTCAGCACCACATACCAACAAAGATGTTGTGTCCGCCAAAAACTAAAAAATAAATATTAAAATTCTCTCTCTCTCTTTAAAAAAAAAAAAAAAAAAAAAAAGAAGCCTCGCTAAGAAGCATTTGGTCTTATTGCAGCCACAGGTAGCTGGCTGCCTTCTCACAATTCCCTCTACTCCCTTCTGTTGATAGGAGTTTTGGAAACAGCTGGGGAGCCTGGGAGTATTGGGCATCACAGTCCCTGGTAAGTATAGCTTCTTTTCCTAAAAATAACTTTCCTTGTGTGCGTACTTACACAATTCCCAAAGGAAGGAGGAAGGAAGGGAAAGATTGTGCCCAAAGACACCGACAACATTTTTTTTTTTTTCAAAATTCTGTGGGTCAGCTGGGTATGGTGGTGCACACCTGTAATCCCAGCAGGAGGCTGAGGCAGGAGGATCACAAGTTCAAAGCCAGCCTCAGCAAAAGCCATGCAACTCAGTGAGACCCTGTCTCTAAATAAAATACAAAATAGGGGTGAGGATGTGGCTCAGTGGTTGAGTGCCCCTGAGTTAAATCCCTGGTATACCCAAATAAAAATTCTCTGGGTCAAACAGTTGTCCTAGTGTATCTATTTTACTATCATAATTTCTAAGTTCTGTTCAAAGAATTGCTTCTAGACAGGAACAGTCAGGGCAGGTATATCCCTATAAGGACTGCCTGAGTCTTATCCCTGGAAATCATTGGGATGAGAGGGATGTCTGTTTGGGCCTTCAGGTAAAGTGGCCAGAGGATATGTTTAATAGGTTCTCTATGGTCTGCCCATTGCCCACTGTGGGTCTTACTACTTGTTTTTATGGGTAGAGGACATGGAGCTGGTGGCCTCTGGTTCAAGTATTGGCTTCTAAGGAGAGTCCAGCCTGGCTTTCTGTGCCCTATAAAGAACTGAGCCTTTGACCACCTCAACCAAGCCTGGAGAGCCCACTATACTCAGGCCTATATTTACTGTGGATATGAGAGTAAGGGTGGAACACGATATAGTCAATTTTTTCTTCTCATTAGTCCCTAAACAATAAAGAATAGCAACTATTTATATAATAAGTAATATATATATAATAATAAGTAAATATATAATAATTTATATAATAAGTAATCTAGAGATGATTTAAAGAATATGGGAGGATGTGCTTCAGTTTTATGCAATGTGACAACATTTTACATAAGATACTTAAACATCCTTGGATTTGGGTATCTATGACAGGTCCTGAACCAATGCCCTGATATTGAGGGTCAACTGTATATTTCACCTTGTCTCCTCTTCAGTACTCAGAGTAGGTTAATTCCTTGATTTTGAGCTGATTATAGAAAGTTAGATATTTACAACATGGTCGGGGCACGGTGGTGCACACCTGAACCCAGCGGCTCAGGAGTCTGAGGCAGGAGGGTTGCAAGTTGAAAACTGGCTTCAGCAACTTAGTGAGGCCCTAAGTGACTTAGTGAGAGACCCTGTCTCTAAATAGAATATAAAAAGGCTGGGAATGTGGCCCCTGGGTTCAATTCCCGGTAACAAATAAATAAAGTTACAACATGAATAATGATAAAATGAAACCATTTAAAGATTTAGATCATCTTAATGTAAAATAACTGGGGGGGAAGGTTGCTAGGGGCTTCTAAACCAGATTCTTCCATTATATTTTGGGAATTTATGAACCCTACTCACCTACTCCCAAGAATTTGTGAATCAGAATGTGTTTAAAGGAAAAAAGAGGCAATTAGAAACCATGAGCTGGGGGTGTAGCTCAGTGGTAGAGTGTGTGTTTAACATTTATGAGGCCCTGGGCTTGATCCCTAGGACCACATTTAAAAGGAAAGAAAGGACCGGCACGATGGCTAACTCTTATAATCGCAGAGACTGAGACAGGAGGATCATAAAAAAGTCTAGAGAAATAGCTCAGTGATGAAGTACCCCTGGGTTCAATCCCCATTACCAAAAAAAGAAAGAAAGAAGGAAAGAAAGAAAAAAAAGAATGGCTGGGTTTGTGGCTCATTAGTAGAGCGCTCACTTAGCATGTATGAGGCACCGGGTTCAAACCATCCTCAGCACCATATAAAAATAAATGAACAAAATAGAAGTATTCTTTAAAAAATCATAAAAGAAAGAAATCAGATAAAATCCTTTGTGGGGAAGTATTTCTTTCTTTATTTATATTACCAGAGATTGAACCCAGTGAATCCAATGGCACTCTACCACTGAGATTTATCCCTTTTCAATTTTTTATTTTAAGACAAGGTCTCACTAAGTTGCCAAGGCTGGTTTTGAATTTGCTATCCTCCTACCTCAGCATCTGACTCAGGCCTGCACTACCACGCCCACCTTCAAGGGAAAACTTTTAAAAGAAAGCCAGGGGGCTGGGGTTGTGGGCTCAGCGGTAGAGCTCTTGCCTAGCATGCATGAGGCGCTAGGTTCAATCCCCAGCACCACATTAAAAAAACTAAATAAACAAAAGAAAGATATTGTGTCCATATACAACTAAAAATATTTAAAAAAGAAAAGAAAAAGCTAGGGCTGGGGCTATAGGTCAGTGGTACAGCACTTACTAGCCTGCATAAGGCTCTGGGGTTCAATGCCCAGCCCCACAAAATTTAAAAATCCCCATATGAGTCCTGGTTCCTACATGATAGTCCTGGTGGCTGTTTCTAACGTCCCCTTCCTTTTTGCTTTCCTTCATGGAGTTGTGATCAGGCCAAGCTTTCCCTAGAGCCTTTCCCTGGTTTCCTAGTCATAGTGAACATGTGCGCAGAGCTTTGCCAGGCTTTACCTAAACAGTGGGATAGGGGATAGTACTACATGATCTTGCCTCTTTGATTTGGGATTTTCTATCAAAGACAAACATCATTTTTATGGAGAGTTCTGAAATGTCCTGCTAGTATCTCTTCTGCCCTTTGCCGTACAGCTTACCTCTAGAGTTCCTCTCCGGCTCTGGCTGTCCTGGCTGTTACCAGCCCTACTTCTTTGAGTCCAAAGCCATACCATTAAATATTACTTTCTTGAGGCTTTTAAACAGACAGACTTGGATTTATATCTGGTTTTGGTGCTTTAGACACACAGTCCTGTGCTCATTTTTGTGTTCATCAGACTGGCTCTCTTTCTTTCTTCATCTGCCTCTGTCTTTCTGTAACTTTTGTAATAGTGGGTGCTTGGGGTTTTTGCTTGTCTCCACGTAAGTTGCCGCAGTCCGGCTGCAGCAAAATAACTAGGGGGTGACAAACAACTTGTGTATGTTGATACAGCAGGAGAGGGAGCCGCCGTTTGTTGCAGGACAGGAGCGGTATTTATACATTCCACACAGCTTATCTAATTAACATAAGCTAGATATATCAGTCAACCAATAAGAAATCTCCACACTTAATAGCTCGATGGCTCCACCTCACAAACCACCTCCTCTGGCATTTTGCCAGGCGCCATCCAGACTTGTTTGCACACTCTAACAGTAAGTGTCTGAAATAAAAACAGATTTGGCAATGATTGACTTCTGAACTGTAGCTCAGCCATCCAGCAACAGCAAACTGAACAAGTTCTGTGAGTCCTTGATATCAACCTGGTAACATTGTTAGGGGAACTTAGAATAGGTGCTACAAGGGTGTCTCTGCCAATTAATTTAAGATTCTGTCAATATCTCAATTTTATCTGACTGCCTTTCTACTCTCCTGCACTGTCCCTCTCGCAGTTCAGTATGGTGGCTCTGGCTTGGGCTACCTGGAACATGTGCTGGTGATGGAGGAGATATCCCGAGCTTCTGGAGCAGTGGGTCTCAGCTATGGTGCCCACTCCAACCTGTGCATCAACCAGATTGTGCGCAATGGGAATGAGACCCAGAAGGAGAAATACCTCCCCAAAGTAAGGAAATGGGAATGAAGAAAGCCATGCTGCAACTACCCACAGCAGGGGGCTCTTTTCCATTGGTAGGGGCCAGTCAGACTTGGTTTCTGTACTTTGCTGCCACAAATACAGTTAGGAAGGATCCCATGGTTGTTTTAAAACATTTGAGTCAAAAATTGAAAATAGGGCTAGATACAGTGGTGCACACCTATAATCCCAGCGACCTGGGGGATTGAGGTAGGAGAATTGTGAGTTCAAAGCCAGCCTCGGCAACTTATTGAGCCACTTAGCAACTCATCGAGATCCTGTCTCTAAATAAAATATAAAAAAAGAAGTGGGGATGTGGCTTAGTGGTTAAGTGACCCCGTAAGTGACCCCGTGTTCAAACGCTGGTACCTGGGGGGAAAAAAATGAAAATAGGGCCAGAATTCCTGATTGGATAAAAGACAGCATTTGAGGGGCTGGGGTTGTGGCTCAGTGGTAGAGCACTCACCTGGCACATGTAAGGCACTGGGTTCGATTCTCAGCACCACATAAAAAAATAAATAAAATAAAAGTATTGTATCCATCTACAACTATATCTATATATCTATATATCTCTTTGTGTGTGTGGGTGGGTGTGTACATATATATATCAGCATTTGAAGAACACTTTAAGAAACAGAAAACCAGTATCATGGTGGCATATGCCTGTGGTACCAGCTGCACAGGAGGTAGAGGCAGGAGGCTCGTTTGAACCCAGGCATTTGAGATCAGCCTTGGCAAAATGGTGAGACCCCCATCTCAGAGAGAGAGAGAGAGAACTGCTGTAGTGCACACTTGCAATCCAGCTACTGGGGAAGCTGAGACTGAAGCAGAAGGATGGCAAGTTTGAGGCCAGCCTGGATAGCATAGTGAGACCTTGTCTCAAAATTAAAATAAAAAGGGCTGAGGATGTTGCTCAGTGGTAAAGCACTTGCTGAACATGCACAAGGCCCTGGATTCCACCCCAAGCACTGCAGAAAAAGAAAAGACTGAAATAAGGAAGAAAGGGAAGTAGAAGAAACACTTTCAGTTTTATGGATACTGAGCTTCCCTTCTAGGACTTTACCAATACCCTGCTCTGAAAAAGCAGTTTGAAAGGGCATAATGTGAACAGGAAGAGGCAGATCAGTGAGCTGTTATAGGTTGCTTCTGAAGTCATAACAAGGCCTATTGGTTTTCCTTGCAGCTGATCAGCGGTGAGTACATTGGAGCCCTGGCCATGAGTGAGCCCAATGCTGGCTCTGATGTTGTCTCCATGAAGCTAAAGGCAGAAAAGAAAGGTGAGATCATTCTCAATTATGGAGTTTAAATGCGCAGAGGGACAAACCTTACCAGAATGAGGGAGCAAGAGCTGGGAGTGGCTCCAGAATTATTTCTCAACTGCTCATTAGTTCTGTGGACTGACAAGATTAAGAAAGGCCAAACCAGCCTAAGCAAGAAGGTAATATCCTGCCCTTAGGAGATTACTACATCCTGAATGGCAACAAGTTCTGGATTACCAATGGCCCCGATGCTGATGTTCTCATTGTCTACGCCAAGTCAGATCTAACTGCTGTGCCAGCTTCTCGGGGCATCACGGCCTTCATTGTGGAGAAGGTGAGGGTGGTGAGTGTGTAGTTGGGGAGGCTTTAGTCTCTTGACAGTGGTGCCAGAGGCTGCTTCCTTCAGCTGATCATGTATGCTCTGCTTCCAAGGGTGGGGGGAGACAGAGAGGAAACTGAAGGAGACTGACAGGAGGGTGGCCAAAGAGTCGAGTCCAGGGAGGATGGGTCAAGTCTGAAGACAGTGAAGCCATGCACAGAGCCTGACCATACAAAGAGGTTCAGGAAGAGGAAGACTGAAAGGAGGCCACTAGATCTGACAGTCAGGATGTCCTTGGTGAGCTGGGCAAGAACAGTAGGGGAGGCTGAGGTATAGCTGGGAATACAAGTGGAGAAGATTTCACCTCCACAGTCTTGACACAGAAGCAAAATGGAGTTAGATCAGGAGCATGAATTAAAACTTCGGAGTTTGGCTTTGGTTTTAAAAATGAGGGGCAGGGGCTGGGGTTGTCGCTCAGTGGTAGAGGGCTTGCTTAGCATGTGTGAGGCTCTGGGTTCAATTCTCAGCATACAAAATAACTAAATAAAATAAAGATCCATCAACAACTAAAAACAAAGAACAACAACAACAAAAAAAAGGGATGACTGGTATGTAGCTCAAAGCGGGGAGATTGACCAAAATTTTTAGTAAGGAAAAAGGACAATTGGAGAGGCAGAAATTGAAGTGTGGGGTAAGTGAGCAAAACACAATGGCTTGTTGGGTAGAAGGAAGGATGGGTTACAGGTGATGAGGGATGAACCATCTGCCTGATAACTGTAGGAAGCCAGGTGCATGTGGGGCACCTGTAAGGGCTGGAGATCACAGCTGTGGGGGAGATGGTAGAAAATTTAACAAATGAGACTTGCAAACGTTTACAGTAGCCCTCATAGGGAAAGTAGCTATTAGAATTAGAGCAAATAGGGCCTGGCAAAGATTGGAAACCTCCAGGTTGTAAAATACCCTCTCATGAGCCAGGAGGGGAGTGGAGGGGGGGTGACACATGCTTCCTTTCTAGGACTTTACCAATACTGGGCACTTGCCAGTACATACGCAGCTGAGTAGTTGAGGTCAAAGCACACAGCTGGGTGCATTCATCCCAGGTGGAACTCCCTTAGGGCCAAATAGCAAAAGAACAAAGGAATTGAGTGGGCTGTTGAGAGTACCTTGAGGAAGGGACGCACAGCCAGAGAGAGTCCGGAGGGTTCAGGACTGAACATTTCACCAGGAAAGAACTTCTCCCATGAGAACATAGCTGGCAACAGTAGAGACTGGGAACAGGGTAGGGTGTCAGGATGTAACAGTCGAACATGAGTGGGGTGCTGGTATGCCAGGCAGGTACAGGGACCTGATGTTAAGGTGAGTCTTCCCTTTACCAGCCCCCTTGTGCCAGTTTTAACCAGAGCCTTCTCTTGTTTCCTGTAAAGGGTATGCCTGGCTTTAGCACCTCCAAGAAATTGGACAAGCTGGGCATGAGGGGTTCTAACACCTGTGAGCTCATCTTTGAAGACTGTAAGGTTCCTGGTAAGTGTTTCTGAGACTGAGGGAACCCCTGTCCTGACCCCCTCACAAGTTGATCTGGCTGTTCCCAAGCTGAGAAAGCCCATCCCTTGGCTAGAGAGACTCACCATTATTAGCTCCTCGATGACATGCAGTTAGACTGTGGGCCTGGGGCTGCTGGACAGCTGTCCCTCCTGGCCACATCCCCTGCAGCTGTATGCCTAACTGGCTGAGGTGAAAGGTGGTGCTTCCTCTGTGGATAACACATTTTGCCTGGGCTTTGTATCCAGTAGCTGAAAGAGAAAGATAAGACATCCCCTAGCCTGCTGTTGTCCTTCAGATGTCCTGTACATTTGCCTGGATAACCTGTGTGAGTTACTTATTAAAAATGCTAATAAAGAATTGCTGGGCATGGCGGCGCACTCCTATAATCCCAGCAACTTAAAAGGTTGAGACAGGAGGATCACAAGTTCAAAGTCGGCCTCAGCAACGGCAAGGTGCTAAGCAATTTAGTGAGACCCTGTCTCTAATAAAATACAAAATTAGGCTGAGAATGTGGCTCAGTGGTTGAGTGCCCCTGAGTTCAATCCCTGGTACCCCCCCCCCAACAACAAAAAAAAAAAAAGCCAACTAAATAAACTGTTGGAAGCCAGATTCAATGAAGAGGAAGTGATTTGGTTTCAGTAGGAATATTTTCTCCCCTGAGCTGCAGCTGAAAATGTGACACCATACATCACTCAGGAAGAACCAGCACCTCTATCATGTGCTGATAGGACCAAAGGCATAGATCTGCTCAACAATTAGGCTGTCTCTGGGCCTCAGCCACAAACTATCCCTCTCCCCCAAAATCTGCTATCCCAGAAAAGTATGATGTGGTTAGAAGGAACATCTAGGGAGAGGGATTTATGCTGATCCTTCTTTGTGCAGAAGAAAAAAATTCAGCCAGGTATGGTGGCACTTGTCTATAATCTAGCAACTAGGGAACTGAAGCAGGAGGATCATAAGTTTGAGACCAGCCTTAGCAGCTTAGTGAGGCCCTAAGCAACTTACCTAGACCCTGATTCAAACTAAAAAATAAAAAGGGCTGAGGATGTGACTCAGTGGTAAAGCACCCCTGGGTTCAATCCCTGCTACAAAAAAAAAAAAAAAAAAAAAAAAAAAAAAAATTCAGTCAGCATTAAAGGCAGATCATTGGTGTCAAATTTCTATACTCAGTTTCCTGCCTGCTCATCCCAAGGCTATCCATAGCCCTAGCTTACCTGAAGGACAAGGCTTAGCAGCTTCTCTCACTAGCACTGAATGGCCCATCTCCTGGACAAAGCAGCTTTCATGGACCCAATGCAAGGAGGTGACACTAGACTAGAGCAGACAAGCTGGGAGAGAGAAATTCTCTGGTTCCTATATAGGTACAGGTGTGGGAAGAACCAGGCAGAGGTAGGTGACTTGTAGACAGACCAATTAACTTCTTTCCCATCCAAGTGTGTCCAGAGACAGAAGGGAAACAGCCAATAACTCAAGGCTTTGTGTCCAGTGGATGGTGTGGGGATCCTAGAAGCTCAACTTCTGACTGGAAATGGTAAATCCAGTCCTTTTCTCTCACCTGGAACCTTAGTTGAACCTCAAGGAACATATTTTAGTGCCTTGTGTGAGAGCATGTTATCAACCTCGTACCCTTTATGAAAGTTAAAAAGCTGTAGACAGCCCTCTCCCTCTGACCAACATTTATCCTGGCAGCTGCCAACATCCTGGGTCATGAGAGCAAGGGTGTCTACGTCCTGATGAGTGGGCTGGACCTGGAGCGCCTGGTGCTAGCCGGCGGGCCCCTCGGGTAAGTATGAGGCTCCTGGGGACCTGTGCTCTTTTAGCCTCTCGGTGGCAGATGGAACTATCCTAAGCAGCAGCAGCCTTCCCGCAGGGGGGCCAAAGGGAGCTGATTCCTGGCCCCTGCAATCTCTCTTAGAGACAATAAGAACTTACTCCTCCTGCATTCAGTTTTTTCACACAGAAGGAAAATGTTATTAGGTGGATAGATGGAGGCCTGAGGAGCAACTCTGCTTAGGTGGTGTGGATATGAAATGAGAGGCCCTGGCTCTGGTGCCTGGCTACTGCAAAGATGCAGCCACTCCCACCTCTGGCTTTAGAGGAGGGGCACAAGGGCTGTACAGTTGGTGCTGTAACTGCCTCTGGATGACAAGAGCTTCTCAAGCTCTTTTCACTCCTGTCTGGGGTTCCAGATCCTTATCTTGCCAAGCTTTCCTCAGGGCCTTTCCCTCTGACATACTGCCATTCCTCTTGGAAGGGGTGGGACCATGAGACACCTCCACAGTGTCTTTCTCCTTTCTGACAGGCTCATGCAGGCAGTCCTTGATCATACCATTCCCTACCTGCACGTAAGGGAAGCCTTTGGCCAGAAAATTGGCCACTTCCAGGTGAGTGGAATATTTTGCTAAATGTACTTTTATTGGGTTCATGTTTTCTGTGATGAATGAGGAAGCAGACCATGCCCTGTGGGATGTTGACTATCATCTAGCAAAATGAGCTTGAATGCCTGGAATGCGGGCTGCTTTAGCATGCAGCCTGGCTTCAGAAATTTTTAGTAAATTTAGCACATTCTCCCATCCATTTCTTTTGGAGATGAATGAACTTGAGACTTCATGCAACTGGAGGGTGAAGCTTGCAGGTGGTGGGGAGCTTGGGAAAAGGGAGGGCATTTCTAGTCTGCCCTTCTGGTTTAAAGAAGCTGTGGGAGGTTGATGAAGGTTGTGGCTGGCAGTGTCTGGGGAACAGTGCCTTTCAGACATAGCAAGGGCCATTTCAGGGTACAATGTCCAAGAGCAGCTCTCTTACCTCCCATATCTACTTCCATCTCTGTCATTCTAGAGAAGTCCCATCTCTTCTCTGTGCCTTTGCTTCCTCACTCCTGCTGTCAGGTTGCCATTGAGGCTGATCTGCTTTTGATGACTAGAAAGAGTGTCCCAGCATGTTGACAATGACCTCTCTTTGTGCTCAGCTGATGCAGGGGAAGATGGCAGACATGTACACCCGCCTCATGGCATGTCGGCAGTATGTCTACAACGTTGCCAAGGCCTGTGATGAGGGCCATTGCACTGCCAAGGTGAGGGACAGCTCCTGAGCAGGGAGTAAGCAATGGGTCATCTGCTAGGACTGGCTCCTGCATGCCTAGCAGGGCCCTGCTGACAGAACCTCCTCCCACAGGACTGTGCTGGTGTGATTCTTTACACAGCTGAGTGCGCCACAAAGGTAGCCCTGGATGGCATTCAGTGTTTCGGTGAGTGGTCCCCACCACCCCCTCCTTCCTAGCCTGGTGCCAACTGGAAAGGTTTCCTCTCCACTTCCCACTTTGTGCTTAAGCTAGCCACAATTGAGCTACCACCTCCTGGCTCTGCTCCCTTTAGGAGGAGTGGAAAAGTAGATGAGAAAGTGCTAGAGACCACAAGTTGCTACTGCCTTCAACAGTGCCCCCTCTCAACCACCCCCCTGCTCTCGTGGATACTAGAAAATGGGAAGAGAGATGCTTCAGGTGGAACATCCTCATTTCAAAATTGCCCCCAGATTGAGGGCATAGTCTTGAGCCTCATGGCTTTGGTTTGAATCCCAGCTCAGCCGTGCCAGTCTCTTCTTGCCCACTCCCATTCTTTTTTTGGGGTGGGGGGGATACTAGGGGTTAAACCCAGAGCCTCTTAACCATTGAGCCACATCTCAATCCCTTTTTTATATTTTATTTAGAGACAGGGTCTTACTGAGTTGTTTAGGCCCTCACTAAGTTGCTGAGGCAGGCTTTGAACTCTAGATCCTCCTGCCTCAGCCTCCTGAGCCCCTGGGATTACAGGCATGGGCCTACTCTTATCTCCATTTGCCATGTCTGCCAGTGATTCTCCATTTTCTTTGCCTGGTGGCATCAGCACTCTGAGTGGCCTTCCAGCTCTATCCCTTTGCCCACCCTGTTACCACCAAGGAAATCTCCAAGCCCTCCCCTCTCACTACCTTTTGCTGCTTCTCTTTAATTAGACCCTCCATAGCTTGTTTCTCTATACAGTCTGCCCTCAATATTCATGGATTCCAACCAAATTCAGATAGAAAATATTCAGAAAAAAAATATTGCTTCTATATTAAGCATAGACTTCTTGCTGTTATTCCATAAATAATACAGTCTAACAACCATCTAAATGGCATTTATATTGCATTAGATAGTGTAAGTAACAGAGATGATTTAAAATATATGGGAGAATATGCTTAGGTTATATGAAAATACTTTGTCATTTTGTATAAAGGACTTGAGCATCAATAATTTTGGTAGCCATAAGAAGTCCAGAAACCAATCCCCACAGATAACTGAGGGATGACTGCACTTGGCCTTCTGTTTGTTTTCCTTGCTTTGCTACACTGCCCATTGCTTCTGTTGTCTTTTCTTCTCTTCTCAAACCCTGTTGCAGGTGGCAATGGCTATATAAATGATTTTCCCATGGGCCGCTTTCTTCGAGATGCTAAGCTGTATGAGATCGGGGGTGGGACCAGTGAGGTGAGACGGCTGATCATTGGCAGAGCCTTCAACGCAGATTTCCACTAGCCCCAAGATCCACCACCCCTTGGGACTGGGGATGTGGCTCAAGCGGTAGCGCACTTGCCTGGCATGCATGCGGCCCGGGTTCGATCCTCAGTACCACATACCAACAAAGATGTTG